TAACTATATTTCTCAATGATGAGGTGGCAACATCAATATTATTAAAGTAATGAGTAATGTAACCGCAAAGCACAACGGTCTAACCTAAACATGTTAAAGTATGAACTGACAAAGAACTGATGTGCATACTATACACCCCAAAAAAATGTGAGATTAGAATAAATTGTGTGTTCCAATCCATAGTAGGTTGAAAATAGTGTGCTAAAGTTCCCGAATGGTCTACTATTTTCGGTAAATTTTCGAAGTGTGGATCCGTACACAATCAAATGTGACCCTGCAGCACAAAAGCAGTGTTAAGTCGCTGGGGAATATTTGTAGCAATAGCCAAAAATACATTGTATGGGTCAAAATTATCGATTTTTATTTTATGCCAAAAATCATTAGGATATTAAGTAAAGATCATGTTCCATGAAGATATTTTGTAAATTTCCTACTGTAAATATATCAAAACTGAATTTTTGATTAGTAATATGCATTGCTAAGAACTTCATTTGTACAATTTTAAAGGCGACCCTCAGATTCCAGATTTTCAACTAGTCATATCTCGGCCAAATATTGTCCTATGCTAACAAAAGCATACATCAATGGAAAACTTATTTATTCAGCTTTCAGATGATGTATACATCTCAATTTTGAAAACCTGACACTTAAGTTTTGTGGTCCAGGGTCATAAATGGCTAATATTGCCCATATTATTGCGCTTTGGAGGCGAATTCAGTTCAGAACTACAAACACGAATAAAAGGAACTACAAGCATGGTGGATGTGCGTGAGACCCATGGTTAAGTAGAGATGTTTGCATGTTATCTGTACTATATTTCATCTGCAACAACATGTCATAAAGGTTCAAATAGTACAATAGCAATACAGATACGTTTGGCCGATATCAAATGCATCATGCAATAAACATGAGCCGAGTTCTCACCATGCAAGAACCACGACTGGTAGACCAACATGATACTTGTATTCTCTCGAATACAGTAGTGGTAGTATGTCTCAAAGCTTGTCTGCTCTTCTGCTACACACTCAAAAGTACCTACATTTTCTTTTTTGAAGGAGCACATACTTTTAGGGCATAGTATAAGTAGATAACTAGGACACATCACATGTGAAACTAAACTAGGAACAGGTGAACAAAATCAGAAACCATGGAAACAAATCAAACAAGGACGAAATACAGGAAATGGAAACAGAGAAACAATAGACGCTAATAAGCATGGCAAAAAAAACTTAGTAAACACAGGAATGAAATATATGTCAGATGGGATGACAACAGTACTTTATGTGTGCAAATGAGAGAGCATAAGTGGAAGTTTTTCATATAAGCTATATTAAAAATATTTCAGAAAAAAAACAGCTGTTTGTAATAAGTGAAATAATTTGGCCTGGTGATATGGAATTGCAATGTAGTCACGACCTGGAACTTTTTATTATAGAGCTGTGCAATTATTGAAATTTATACAACTGTTAGTTCTGATACTCAAATCTGATTGGCTAAGTGGTCTAAAAGTCCTGAGAGCAGTAATACTTTTTTTTGTTTTTTGTTTTTTTGGAGCATTTATTGGAGCATTCCAGAAACACTGGCACAGACATTTTAGAAACACAGATACTATTATAGTTGTTATTACTATTTGAATCAGTTTTGAATATATATTTTCCATTTTCATTTTTTTATGTTAAAGTTTAGGTCATTTTTAGTAGTTTTTGTTTTCAGCAGGTTGCACCAGGTTGTCATCACTCTAGTGGATGGCCACTCTATAAGTTTAAAAACTCATCAGATCAAAAACGATATTCCCTTCAGGAAGGACAGCACTTGAGTTTGTGTCTAAATGTTCAATTCAATATTAATATCTATTATATTTTACTGTTGTATAAAAGCAATATCACACCAGTAATCATGCAGTTGTTCAGCCTGTGGCATTGTGCATATGGCTTAATCACAGTACTATATCACTGTGATACTGCTAAAATAATTAACAACTTAAAATGTCAGTCAGCTAATCAGAATCAAGCGTTCAGAAGGGGATTTATATTCCATCGTGGAAAAACTAACTAATACCTCAATTCTCCTGAGCTATCAAGAGCAACCTTGTCCTTTTTGCATGCTGTATGGAGATTTATTTCTTCTTCTGTGATTATGAAATGATGATTGTTGATTATAAATGATAGTATTAAATAGATTAAGCAGCTAACCACCATTTTTGTTGCTGTTGGTCCAATAAGTGACATGAAGACATGATTACTTTAACATTATTCTGCCATTTTTAAAACTCTTTATTGTATAATGTTTCAAGAATATGCCATATTTATTTTGATAACGCAGTGCAGACTTCTTTGTGGTTAGTACATGAGCTTCAACACACAATTATGTTGGCATGCAAATATCTTACGCACTGTTTCCATAACAGTGAACTGAGTGAATCCGGTGGCTTTTGTTGTTGTTGAAGAAGCAGAATTTGACACAAAGCCACTGAGGTGTTTTGAACCTTTCAGAATCGCTCTCTTCATCTGCTGCTGTTGGGAGGGAGATGCAGCTCCTGTTGTCACTGATTCCAGATCTTTCCACTTCTCTTTCACCCTGAACAGTGCTTTGTTGCTGTTGGATCTGGTTCATTTGATCTTTTTAAGTGCATTTATTAATATGACGGCAGGATACTGACTTGGCGTAACTGTGCTGTCTGTTTTCGAGGCATCACAGAACTATGCTGCCTCTCACAAATGTTTGTTGTGTCAAATTAACTGTTTTGCCACTGAAGTTTGGAGTTTATACTGCTTTATATATTGTATTTATATAGCCAGTACTGTATATTGTTACAAATTGTTAAACGTGTATTGTAACTGTTAAGCGTAGTCTAAATGTAATGAACTTGGAACCTGTGTGGTTTGATTCAACATATGTTCACTATTCAGAATATTTTGCAAACATATTTTCTAACAAAATAGTATTGACTGTATTGTAACACTCTGTGCATTATTTAATTTTTTGTTTAATACTAATAATCAGTTATTTACAGTACCTTGCTTGTCATAGCTTAGTCAAATACAAGAATCTTGTGGCCTGCTTGATTGTACATTAAATAAATATCATAATGTGGAATGTGACGCAATGCATCTTGAAGAATAAAAATACATCATAATTTGGCATACATCAGTGATACTCGCATACCTACATCTGTGTAAATAAAGTTGGCCCTCGCCATTTTTTAAAGAAACAAAATGTATATTTCTCACCTCTTTTAGATGTTACTGTTTTCTTTCTGAATCCTTCAGTTCCTGCTGTGATCTCGCTTTGCTGCCCCCTGTGGTGGACTGATTCATTTACTAACTCCTGCAAACAAAGAAATACCATCAACATAAACAGATCTGAGAATTTGCCTGATCTAAGTTTTTTAAGAGAAAAAAAAATACAGTCAAAAAGTACCTGTTCAAAAATGTAAATAAACGTAAATGAGGGGAAAGTTGTTGGAAATCCACAACAGAGCAAGTGTTTAGGGTGGAAAAATCCAGTGCGAGTCTTCCGTGTTCTGGCATGTTTAAAATAAAGCAATAAGCCCCAAGAAGCCGTGGTTTACAGTGAATTTATAACAGCGAAGGGGCGTTGTTAGCTAGGCATGATGCTTAGCTGTTATAAATTCACTGTAAACCACGGCTTCTTGGGGCTTATTGCTTTTATAAAACGGTTATTCCATATACGTAGTAAGGTTTCACAAAATAAAGCAGAGCAAATAAAGTGTAATGATATTAATAAACACAGTATTCTTCCACCAAGCAATGTAGTTTCTCAGAAACAGTTGTGGTTGCAACAAAGTGGCTGCAGAGCAACACACAGAAGTAAACAAAGGTGTGTGTTTGTAGTGTAATTTACAACAGCTTTGAACGCGGCTCAACCAATCAGAATCAAGGACCGGAACTCTCCGTTATATTTACAAAATGTTTAATTGTGTAAAATAACTGTTCGTTTACAATTTTAGATATGATATGCAAATCTCGTTTTATTAAATTGTAATATGCTACATATCCCTGCACTTTATATAATGGTACTGGCATTGGCTATTGAACAAACCATATTAGTTAACCGCTAGTTTCTATGCTACATACAAATATAAGTCATTATATCTACAACGGCAATGTTGTTATAGTTAATGTGGATTATGTCGATTTTTATTCATCTAAACATGACATTATGAAAAATTATATATTTATACATTATATATTAATATAAATGTTTTGGTTGCATTTTCAATATCAACATCAATCTGCTGCCTGATGATTCAGCAATAGTTTGTCACATTGTAGTTCTTACACATGCACCCATCACCTCACACACAGGAAGCTTTGTGCTTCTTCGCTGCGCTATTAATATTTCTGTGCCTTTAAGTGTATTAATGCATGTAGACATTTCCATGTTTTTATGTCATTTATTTTTTATTTCACTGTAATTGTGTATCTCTTTTTCTTTGTGTTCACCCCCTGGCTACTGTAAAGTGTTGAATTTGAGTGATTCAATAAAAAATAAAATAAAAACCTGACCAACAGAGTTCTGTTTACCATCACCTTCTCGGCGGAAGTGATGCACGACGCACTGACGTGGCCGGAAACCCGCCATCTTGAGGGAGGAAACGCCTTGAAGTTAAGGAGGAAACTTGAACTGTGAGTTTTTATTTTTGAAAAACGTATATAGTACTCGAAACGTTACCACCATGCTAACAAACTATACATAGAGTTGTGTGATATGTTACCCGTGTGTGGGGTAAGATTAGAATGAGAATTTCGGTGTTAATTACATCCGAGTTAACCCCGAGTGTCTGTGACAAAGGAAACAACAATCTAAGACTTCAGTCAACTTTACTTCTGAAGTAACTAATGTTGCATTGATGATTTAATACATACACTTTTTCAACTATTGAGCTTTGTTTTTAAATACTATGTCTGAGTATTGTAAGAGCCTTTAATAATCAACCACAAAAACTAGTTTAATCAACTTATTATCTGAAGTAATTATTTCATGGGGCCCTGATAAGTTCACTGAAATCTATATTTGTCCCTAAACGGATCAAAAAAGATGTGATTCTACATAATGACACTTTTCTGCTATCGCCTCTGAACAGTAAGTATTATTTTAGGAATGCTTGTCCAAGCTATTGGAGTCAGATCAGATTTGTTATTAAAATAAATGCTTATAAAGACTTGTGTATGTGTTGTATTTTTTCATGAGAGCTTTTTTGCAGCTTTTCCTGGTTTGTTTAAAGAGTCAGTTGTCGTAGCTGTTATACTCGGAGAATCAGGTATGCTGTGAACTTGAGTGGGAAATGTAGTTTAGCCGCTTTATTCATAACCGTGATGTGTATAGGGTCATTTACACTGTGTGTGAGTATTGATTACTTTACATTCGATCCTGTTGGAAGACTATTTGAGAGCTTTTTGTCTTGTTCTGTTTCAGTGGAGTGAGAAAGGCGTCTGGCAAACATGGGCAACTTATTCGCAAACCTTTTTAAAGTCTTCGGTAAGAAAGAGATGAGAATTCTTATGGTGGGTCTTGATGCTGCTGGAAAGACGACGATTCTGTATAAGCTGAAGCTGGGGGAGATTGTTACCACCATCCCAACAATCGGTAGGTGACTGTAGGGGTGCACGATAAATCGAAATGGAATCGCGATTCGACAGAAGCTGCGATCGTCATGCGCGTCTTTCAGTGAAGCACGGTTCTGTGATCAGTAGTAAATCTCCGTCCGAAGGCTAGAGAAACTCCAAATACGCCTCGCAGAAGAAACCCAGAAATTGCTGCAGCTGAATAAACAGAAGATTCAACTGCTTTCATTGATTCAACGTGACTAATAAACACACGACTACGGCAATATACGGTTTATCTTGAGTTCTTATTATTATCATTTTCATTAAGATAAAGTATATTTATAATGCAATGCCTTTATCACTGCTTAAATACTATGAAATATGTTGCGTGCCTTATTCCGTGTAAGAAGCGTCATCATCTCACAGAAGGGTTTATTTCAAACACTCGACTGACGTTATGAAGTGAGTTTGGAGTAAAAGCATGTTATTAAATGTGATATTTTCACGTGCTTTCAGATGGAGCAGCATTTACTACACAGAGCCGTAGTTCACTGAGAAGCTGTGCAAACAGCTGTCATTATCGCCAACGATTTCAGCATCGCGCAATAAAATCGTCTGCAATTTTTTTTGCGTAACTTGTCAGTGAACTACGGCTATGTGTAGTAAATGCTGCTCCGTCTGAAATTTCCTGCTGATTACAGAACCGGCTTTACTAACAAAATGCGCATGACGATCGCATTCGATTAATCGTGCAGCCCTAGGTGACTGAGATCTATTTCCCGATATTAGCGGCTGAAAAGCGAATGAATGCTTATATGTGGTTTCTGTTTTGTGTTCAAGGTTTTAATGTTGAAACTGTGGAGTACAAGAATATAAGTTTCACAGTTTGGGACGTCGGTGGTCAAGATAAGATTCGACCTTTGTGGCGCCATTATTTCCAGAACACACAAGGTGAGAGTTTTCCCCAAGTCATACAGTATGTTGGGAAGTCCAGTTGATTTAATGTAATCTGTGTGTGTTGACAGTGTTGCCAGAAACCTCTGTCAGTAGTACTGTCTGTTTTTGTTAATCAGGCTGCTGCAGTGACATTATAAGATCGGTTGAGTCATAGGTTTGGGTTTGTAAATGTCTCCCAACTAATCCTAATGTCTCCCAACCAATCCTAATGCACCCAACACCCTCATGATTCTTTAGCCAAATCTATGTTTTCTTCCTGGCTCGGGGGGTTTACAGTTAGCTGACCGTTATCTCCAAATACACCTAGACCGAACGAATCTGCAAGTTTGGACAGATTTTGTCAGTATGGACTTTTTGCACTGAGCTTCGTGACACACTTTCAAAATAGTTTGGTTTGCTAAATGTGATTTATGTATATTATCAATGTGCTGTAGCCACCTAGTTGACAAAATGCCACTTAAATGAGTGTTTGCAAGAAGACTGTGCAAATGTGTACATTTTTAGGGACGGGAAAAGAGATGTTCTGATCAATAATATCAGAACGACTCTTTATTTATTTGTATTAAATGATTTAATCACTCACTTTCTCTCACTGACAATCATTTCAATGCATGTAATTTACATGTTTATGCCAAAATTCTTATTTGTGACCCTGCAGCACAAAAGCAGTGTTAAGTCGCTGGGGGATATTTGTAGCAATAGCCAAAAATACATTGTATGGGTCAAAATTATAGATTTTTCTTTTATGCCAAAACAAAAAATTGGATATTACGTAAATATGTTCCATGAAGATATTTAGTAAATTTCTTACCGTAAATATATCAAAACTTAATTTTTGATTAGTAATATGCATTGCTAAGAACTTAATTTGGACAACTTTAAAGATGATTTTCTCAATATTTCGATTTTTTTGCACCCTCAGATTCTGCTGTATCTGTGCCAAATATTGTGCTATCCTAACAAACCATACATCAATGGAACTCTTATTTATTCAGCTTCCAAATTTCCAAAAATTGACCCTTATGACTGGTTTTGTGGTCCAGGGTCACATTTATGCCTGGGACAAAATATGTAAAAAAAAAAATGTTTTGTGTAATCGATCTGATGTCAGTTCCATTTTTAGCCATTTCTGTCACTCACACCAGTCTATTAATCTGCTTGTTTTTTCTTCTTGGGTTAGGTCTGATAATCCTAACAAACCATACATCAATGGAACTCTTATTTATTCAGCTTCCAAATTTCCAAAAATTGACCCTTATGACTGGTTTTGTGGTCCAGGGTCACATTTATGCCTGGGACAAAATAAAAAAAAAAAAAAATGTTTTGTGTAATCGATCTGATGTCAGTTCCATTTTTAGCCATTTCTGTCACTCACACCAGTCTATTAATCTGCTTGTTTTTTCTTCTTGGGTTAGGTCTGATCTTTGTGGTTGACAGCAACGACAGAGAGCGTGTGAATGAGGCGCGAGAGGAGGTGATGAGGATGTTGGCTGAGGATGAGCTCAGGGAAGCAGTCCTGCTCGTGTTTGCCAACAAACAGGTACTAACAGCTTTCAACTGATTACATGCACTTCTTTCCAGTTACACATTTGACACGTGTTTGTCCGACAGGACCTACCGAACGCCATGAACGCTGCGGAAATCACGGACAAGCTGGGGCTGCATTCGCTCAGGCACAGGAACTGGTACATTCAGGCCACATGCGCCACAAGCGGCGACGGCCTCTATGAAGGACTCGACTGGTTGTCCAATCAACTGAAAAACCAGAAATAACAACCTTAGTTCGATATTCTCAACACTTGCTTTACTCTTTTGTTTTTAAAGAAATGGTGCTGGAAGCTGCGCTCATTTCAAACCCCATTAACACGGAAGAATAGGGCCCTACAGTCACAGTGTTGCTCTCTCGTTTAATGTAAATCTTTTTTTTGTTGTGAGGCAGCTCTTTGAGCACCATTATGCAAGCCTTTCGTCTTTTTTTCCCGTTCTTACTGCCCGAGTCATTGGAAAGAGTTTTATGAACGTCACTTCAGGTCTCATTTGAATCTTGCACATGTATTATTTTATTGTGCTTATAATAAGACTCTTTCTTAGGCGTACTGTAAACAAAGCTGTTATGTTTGTCTTGAACGGAGTACGGGAAATCAAACATTACAGACACTACCTGCACATATAACAGTTCAATTTCCAGGAAAAGAAACCAAAAACGATTACACTGTCTTCTCAGCAAAGGCTGAAGTGACCGCTAGCTTTACTGTCATGATGCTTTAGGAGCCATAGAGTTGTGAAGACAGCTACACAAAAGATTTTTCTGTTATGAGATTCCCAATACACAACGGATGTTTTGTTGTTATATGTGGGAGAAGTGTTGGAGTGGCTCAGGTTAATCAAGGTTTGTAGGAGGGTGAAGTAATACATTCAGGCACGTAAATACATTCAAGTAACAAATACATTCAGGCACGTAACAGTAATGAGATTTTTATTTTTTTTTAGAGGAACTTGAGGTTGTTTCATGAAAACAATGTGACGATATAAAAATTTTATTGTTTTGCAAAAATAGGTTTCATTTTCTATATGCAAAATATTATGTTTTTTATTTATGGGTGGTTAAATGTGACCTGAACATTTTTTTTTTCTTAAGATTTACCCAGAAAGAGAAACTGAAAGATTGGGTTTATGCACCTAGCGTTAAAATTCATGTTGTTTTGACACTCTTAAGTGTTACTTTCTATTTCTTATTTTGGACTCCAAATCTAACCACCACTTGGAATAAACAACAGTCTCATCTAACCACATGCTTACTCTTTTGTTTTTAAAGAAATGGTGCTGGAAGCTGCGCTCATTTCAAACCCCATTAACACGGAAGAATAGGGCCCTACAGTCACAGTGTTGCTCTCTCGTTTAATGTAAATCTTTTTTTTGTTGTGAGGCAGCTCTTTGAGCACCATTATGCAAGCCTTTCGTCTTTTTTTCCCGTTCTTACTGCCCGAGTCATTGGAAAGAGTTTTATGAACGTCACTTCAGGTCTCATTTGAATCTTGCACATGTATTATTTTATTGTGCTTATAATAAGACTCTTTCTTAGACGTACTGTAAACAAAGCTGTTATGTTTGTCTTGAACGGAGTACGGGAAATCAAACATTACAGACACTACCTGCGCATATAACGGTTCAATTTCCAGGAAAAGAAACCAAAAACGATTACACTGTCTTCTCAGCAAAGGCTGAAGTGACCGCTAGCTTTACTGTCATGATGCTTTAGGAGCCATAGAGTTGTGAAGACAGCTACACAAAAGATTTTTCTGTTATGAGATTCCCAATACACAACGGATGTTTTGTTGTTATATGTGGGAGAAGTGTTGGAGTGGCTCAGGTTAATCAAGGTTTGTAGGAGGGTGAAGTAATACATTCAGGCACGTAAATACATTCAAGTAACAAATACATTCAGGCACGTAACAGTAATGAGATTTTTATTTTTTTTTAGAGGAACTTGAGGTTGTTTCATGAAAACAATGTGACGATATAAAAATTTAATTGTTTTGCAAAAATAGGTTTCATTTTCTATATGCAAAATATTATGTTTTTTATTTATGGGTGGTTAAATGTGACCTGAACATTTTTTTTTTCTTAAGATTTACCCAGAAAGAGAAACTGAAAGATTGGGTTTATGCACCTAGCGTTAAAATTCATGTTGTTTTGACACTCTAAGTGTTACTTTCTATTTCTTATTTTGCACTCCAAATCTAACCACCACTTGGAATAAACAACAGTCTCATCTAACCACATGCTATAACTAGATCTTCCAAAAAAAATCATTTGTGCATTTTTATTGTTTTAGGACATAACCCAAAACATATCTCCAGAGTGTTGGCATGTTAATATCAATGAGCTTTCTGTTGTGCATGTAGATATAATTTCCCCCCAGATTAGCCGTGGTGCCTTTATGACAAACAGACTCCCGTTTCAAATTAATAATCTTCATGTTCAATGTTAAACAATGTAAGGGCTGATTTAAAGTTACGTTATTATTTATCTTTTTCTCTCTCTCTCTCTCTTTCCCAATTAACCTCTAATTTGGTAGACACTGATTACTTTGGGTCGAAATTATGTGAATCTCTTAGCAAAATGTTGTATAATGTGACTCTTAACCTATGTTTTATTTTATGTTTTTCATTTTGACAGAAATGCACTGTAATTAAAGATACTAGTATAACTGGATTTACTTTTGCCCTCTTGTTATTCTGAAGCAGCTCTTGAAATAAATCTTGACTGCAGTGGCATCAATAATTGAACAAGGTAGCTCACTAAAAAAGATAACTAAAAAATATATACATATAAGCATGGCGGTTAAACATTAAAATGTACATTAGTTTGGTTTAAAATTTTTAAAAAATCAGCCCATTGCGTTGTAATTTCTGTTTTAGGGTCCAAAGCTAAACTGAAACTGAACTACCTTCTGAAACCTGCTTTTAGACGCTCACCTGTTTGGATGTAGTTTAGTTGGAATAGTTTTATCACTTTTTCACTCTACAGAAAAAAACACATTGCAGTGTTTAAAAAAGCCTGCAGGTGGTTTGTAGCTAGTTTTACAGTAAACTGAAGAAAACTATGAACAATTCTGTTCCACGACAAAATTGCATAATGTAAAATTTGTCATCAATTACAGTTATTAGTAGCTAAACAAAAATATTAGTTTTTTATTTTGCCTTTTTCTCCCCCCTGAAAATCGCATTTATTTTCTTGGAAGTGCTGTATGTGCGCTATATATATAGTAGTCTTGCTGTCTGACTAACATCAAAAGTTTTCCATTTACAATGTTTTTTTTTGTTTTTTTGCAGCATTGTTGCAAATTACAGAGATGTCTTTCTATTACTATTCTTCACAGGCATATAAATGTTTACATAGTATTTAACTGCTTATATTTTAACTATGAGTTTAAATGGAATTGATCTCACTATATTAGCCTAAAAACATTGATGCATCCACAAATCCCTCATTAACAAAAAAAAACCTTCAATATTCATAACATAATACCATGCCATGGATCAGTATTTTCCAGATACAAAGATTAGATCAATTAACCTCAGCTGACTAAATCTCACAAATGCTGCTATTTAGATGAAATGACAAAATTACGAAGAGACTGGCTGTTCATCAAAGATTGAGCAATCTATTAAATAACCAATTTTACCCTATAAATTCACAAAACATTAGGCTAATTTATCATTTATATACTACATCCTCTAGTCTAGAAGGTTAACATTCTATCGCATATTTGTGTTTGCATTATGGAGATGTATTATTTTTATTTACAATGTGTTTTTGCAGTGTTGAGCAATACAGCCAATCACAGACATATCTGTTGATTTCTAGAACGCAATGGCCAATCAGAGGCGTTCCTCTCCTGGCTCAAAATACCAGTGTTTTTGTGCTGAGTTCGCAAATCCTCTCATTGTAACAAAGTGTAGACACAATGTAAAGAGTTTCATTGTGCAGTGCAGAGTTTCAATGATTATAAAGGAACTTTATATTAAGGAAATTCGAGAGAATCTCGATGAACTGAGATAAGCGTGATTATAAAGGGGTTATTTAGTGATTATAAAGGGAGTGCTGCCAATTACTCTCGAAATTGCAATGACTGACATAGTGATAACCATAGCATTTGGACAGGACAAAAATATATATGCCAAAATAGATGTGCATTAAGGGTACGTTTATGGAAGCCCGTTTCCGCCACTGAATAAAAAATAAAAAAAGGTAGTTGCGACTTTCTCTCACGATTCTGACTTTTTTCCTCAGAATTGCGTGATATAAACTCGCAGTTGTGAGTCATAATTGTCATTATAATTGTGTGATATAAACTGTTGGGGAAAGATACTTTTAAAAGTAATGCATTACAATATTGCGAAAGTAACACAAAAGTAATGTAACGCATTACTTTTCATACAAAGTAACTAAGTAACGTAATTAGTTACTTTGTATGAAAAGTAATGCGTTCCGTTACTTTTGTGTTACTTTCGCATAACTTTTTAAATAAGAGCAGGGCTTGATTGTTTTTAATATAAGAAGCTCTGTTTATAGCAAATGTAAAAGCCCTTTCACACCAAAAAGTGTAATGAATAAACCTCAGGCTGAAAGAAAATGTAAATTCACGTCTGTACAGTAGAACGCAGGAGAAGAAACACTCTTCAGCAATAAAAAAAACAAAGCACAGTTAGTTTGGAACATATCAGCCCCCCCCCCCCCTCAAAATAGGATTTTAACTCACAATTGTGCGTTTATATCACACAATTCTGACTTTATAACTCACAATTTCAATTTCAAGTTTATATTCTGTGAAAAAAAGTCAGAATTGTGAGATAAAAAGTCGCAATAGCGTTTTTATTTTTTTATTCAGTGGCGGAAACAGGCTTTCATACACATTTGCATGACTGTGTGCTAAAAAAAAGTTTTCCTTTACATTTCTCACGTACTAGATGACACAAAAACAACTTGAAATGCTGTATTATGCATGCCAGGCTAGTAGTTGGCGATGTCACTCTTTAAAGACACACTAATACGCTTTTTTTTTTTCACAAATTCACATTTTTGTATTTTACATGGAGACAATAACAAAAAAAAAGTTTGCTCTTTCACTGTCGTCGAGTAAATTTTGTCATGAAGTGACGTGGCCAATAGTGCTCTACATTTAACCCACACCGTGAACACACACCTGGAGCAGTGGGCAGCCATTTATGCTGCGGCGCCCGGGGAGCAGTTGGGGGTTCGGTGCCTCCAAAACAAACCCCCCCCCCCCCCCCCCCCCTCAAAATAGGATTTTAACTCACAATTGTGCGTTTATATCACACAATTCTGACTTTATAACTCACAATTTCAATTTCAAGTTTATATTCTGTGAAAAAAAGTCAGAATTGTGAGATAAAAAGTCGTAATTTTTTTTTCAGTGGCGGAAACAGGCTTTCATACACATTTGCATGACTGTGTGCTAAAAAAAAGTTTTCCTTTACATTTCTCACGTACTAGATGACACAAAAACAACTTGAAATGCTGTATTATGCATGCCAGGCTAGTAGTTGGCGATTTCCCTCTTTAAAGACACACTAATACGCTTTTTTTTTTCCACAAATTCACATTTTTGTATTTTACATGGAGACAATAACAAAAAAAAAGTTTGCTCTTTCACTGTCGTCGAGTAAATTTTGTCATGAAGTGACGTGGCCAATAGTGCTCTACATTTAACCCACACCGTGAACACACACCTGGAGCAGTGGGCAGCCATTTATGCTGCGGCGCCCGGGGAGCAGTTGGGGGTTCGGTGCCTTGCTCAAGGGCACCTCAGTCGTGGTATTGAAGGTGTGAGAGAGCGCTGTACATTCACTCCCCCCCACCTACAATCCCTGCCGGTACGAGACTCAAACCCACAACCTTGGGTTACGAGTCCGAGTCTCTAACCATTAGGCCACGACTTCGCCATGAAAATGCCTTTCAGAACCTTGATTCTTGAACCGGGCCTGTGTTTGGTTGCTTCGGCATTGAACACGGAAGGGAA